GCAACCTTGCATCATATCATACTTAAATTGAAGCCTTTGTAAATGTGCTGGCTTCGTGTTTTAAATTATTAACCGTTTATTATATCTGAAAAACTTTTTGAGACAGGTGGCAACTCTATAAAATATTTTTTCACATAAATGTATGCAAACACATTTCTTAGTATTATTATTTACATTAACATTTTTGTCCTAATTTTTAAATTCTAAATATGTGGCAATATTGTGGCAAACCGTTTACAACTCAAAAGTTTTTAAATGGACTGCAAAATTTAATGTAAACTTTTGCGTAGACACAGAATATAATTCTATGAACTGAAAACTTGTGTCTGATCTTTAGCAGAGCGGATTCTCACTTTTTTAAATATTTTTTTTTGTAATTACAAATATAGTATGTTCAATTCCAGACCTCCAGCTGAAACTTAAATTCTTTTGAAATCATTTGAATTATTTATTTACTAACCTTACGATTCCCGTGATTTTTTAATCCACAAACAATTATTGAGTCTGCAGCCTTTAAAAAGACGTCATAATTACCGTTAGTTTAGTAGTCATTTGTAATGATATTGCTTTCGCAGTTCTTACTTGTTTTTCAACATAAGCACCTGTGATTCTTCAGTCAAAATGAAATAAATTTTTAAAACTCAAATTATTATTTTTAGTTTAAAGTTTCGGTCGCTAAATTTTCCTTTGCAGTTTAAAAAATAATAAAAATAAAATTAATTCAATAATTAAATAATCCGCTGCATCGTACCCTCGTTTCGCATACGACGTAATGGCGGATGCTAAGTGCGCGACAGGCAAATGTGAAGATAAAACGTAAGATTAAGAACATACAAACACATACACATACATATATATATATAAATACATTTTAATGAATTTCCCCTCTAGCATCACCTACGAAGCGGTCAAAGTCATCGCCGACAATATTCTGTCACGCATAAAAATCAAACCGGTTATCGGCATTATATGTGGCTCGGGTCTGGGCTCACTAACCGAAGCCATTACGAATGCGCAAAATATCGACTACAAGGACATACCCGGTTTTCCGGTCTCAACGGTTCCCGGACATGCAGGACGCCTCGTCATCGGCACGCTTGAGGGTCTACCAGTGTTGGCAATGCAGGGACGCTTTCACTACTACGAAGGCTATCCATTGGTGAAGTGTTCGTTGCCCGTGCGTGTCATGAAAGTGATGGGTATTGAGTACTTGATGGTGACCAATGCTGCGGGCGGCATAAATCCCACCTATAAGGTGGGTGATATTATGCTCATACGTGATCATATAAACTTCGTCGGCTTCTCTGGCAATTCGCCATTACGTGGACCGAACGATGAACGGCTGGGACCGCGTTTTCCACCCATGACCGATGCCTACAATCCCGAATTGATTAAGCGCGCTCTCGGTATAGCCAAAGAGATGGGTATACCGGACGTGGTTAAGGTGGGCACATATTGCTTTCTAGGTGGTCCTAATTATGAAACCATTGCTGAGTGTAAGATGTTGCACACTTGTGGCGTAGATGCTGTCGGCATGTCGACCGCACACGAGGTGGTCGTGGCCCAGCACTGTGGTCTGAAAGTGTTCGCTTTCAGTCTTATCACCAACAAGTCATCACTGGACTACGAAAAGAAAGAGTATGCCAATCACGCTGAGGTCGTGGCGGTGGGTAAAAGTCGGGAGAGCACTTGCCGTGAGCTAATGTGTCGCATGATCAAATCTATAGCAGCGGAGCGTGGTGGCAGCGGATCAGCAGACTGTGGCTGCACAACATGAGAAACGAGGGTTGCTGAGATGCAAGCAGGATTAGTGAAAACACAACCTATTTTTTTATACTTTATTTAATTTACAGAAAAAGTCGAAATTCATGCAAAATTTTACTGAAATTTTTTTACAATAAATTAAGCCGCTTTTTATAAAAAGTGTGTCTCTTTTTCTATAATCGCCGTAACTAGAAACGAAGAGAAAGTACTTCCTCAGGGCATAACATTTTTTTTTTTAAGTTCTGCAGCAACAATAAGAAAACTTTTACTTCCACGTTATAGCGAATAGTTTTTCCTATAATCCACATTTTACTAAAATTCGCTTTGGCTATAAATTGAATTTTAATATTTTATAAAAAATGCTGCAACAACAACAACAAAACTTTTACTGCCAAATTATAGCGCATGCATTTCCTTGTCATCCAGTTTTTATCAAAATCCGCTATGGCTAACAGTTCAGAACTGGCGAAGTGGCTGGAAATTGCATTTTTTAAAGTTGAAAAGGCAACACACACACACAAATATGTTCAAATACGCAAGTGTAGCATACCCGCAGGAGTTTTGCTTGAAATATTTGATGCAGGTTATTTCCGCTGACCATTTTGCCTGTCGCGCTGCCAGGCGCCCAGAAGTCAACAGTAGGCGGCTGCCGAATGGAAAAATGCTTATAACTTCTAAACGGAGAGTCGTAGGCGGTTTTGGTAAAAACTGGGTTTTAGAGAAACGCGTATACTAAAATTGTGTTGAAAAAAAAAAAGTTTGTTATTGTTGAAGAACTGTTTCTAAAAATTAAAATTTCAAGGTAAAGCTATGTTGAAAAATGGAAAAAGTTTATAACTTCTGAACGATGAGCGGTAGGCGGTTTCGGTAAAAATTGAAATGTAGGGCAAGATATGCACTATAATTTGAGTTAAAAAAGTTTTTAATATTATAGTTCCTAGAATATAGATTTTTTTACACAAAAAATTTTTCGTGCGTCTATATGTATTGTACTACATGAAATAAACGCAAGTATATTTGCTAGAAATTCAACTTTATTGAAATGTACTAAGCAATGTTAGCGCGCCCACCACAAGCGCTATGCTTTTGTATGCAATAACTAAGTAACAGTTAATTATAACAAGAAATTAATACAAAATAATATTTAACTTAAAAATGCGCATATATAAAATTATATTTATATTTTATAAAATAATATTAAAAAATAAAATACATTAAAATAATTTGAACTAAATTTCGGGGCGTTTTTTTGTAAATACATTTACAAAACATAAAAATAAAATACACACGTGTGTATAAAAATATAATAGCACATAATACATAAAATTATACATACATACATGTGTGTATGTGTGTATATGTAACATAAAGAGCATGATTAGTATATAATTACATAATAAAGTACACAAACAAAAAGTGTGCTAAAACGATTGCTTTAAAATAAACTATACAAACGAACCATTTAAGTTATATTTATGTACAATTGTATGTGTTTTAATTTAAAAAATATAGAATACATACATATGTAAGTACAAATGTGTTTATATATTTTTTAAATGTTATTTTTTTTAATGTTTATTAATATTATAATTTTTGCATATATATTATTGTTTTTTCACATTATAATTTTTTTATATAAATTTTTTTTTGTTGTTGATGTTGATGTTATATATATTTTTTTAAATATTATACTTTTTTATTATGATAATTTCTTTCATTATTATTTTTTGCTAACATTAAAATATTTGTACATATTATAATTTTTTTATATTAAATTTCGTTTTTAAATATTTGTTCTATTTTTATAAATTTTTTTATTATTAAATTTGTTTATTATTTTAATGTTGACTGCAATAATGTAAGTAAAAATAACAAACACAATATTTAGTAAAATGAAAACTTGCAAGTTTATGCACAATAGTGTACTTTTTGGCCAAAATTTTTATAACAAAACAAATTTAAACTTTTTCTTTAAAATTTTTTAAATAGTTTATTGCTTTTAATTGCATATGTAGGCTATAAAATTTAGTTTTAAATCAATATGTGTGTAGCTTGTGCGCTGGTGCTGCCTTCAAGCAAGCAATTGATATTTAAATTTATAAATTTCAACTTTTT